TCTTTCAAAAGCCCTGCTTTCTTCTAACAATGTAAAATTAGATTATTGAAATATGGGAATGCTTCTGTATCCTTGTTTGAGGAAACATTATGTATAAATCAGAGTAGTTTGAGTGTACCAGTGGGATTCATTTCACACTTTCTTCTTTTTATATAAAGCAAATTGTCTTTAAAAAAGAAACATTATGGATTTTGAGAATGGGTTAGCCTCTATTTTAGTCTTTTTTTTTTTTTTTTAGGATGATTCAATTGGCTTTGAACTGGGCTGCATCAGCTAGGTAGCCTTTTAGGATACTGTTCTCTATATTTAGCCATAGAATGGTTGTCATGGGTGGGGTGGGGATTGTCTGTCTGTGGCTGGACCTGGCTTGGTATCAGACAAGTCTAGTGTATCTAGAACTCTATCTTCATCAGCTTCTGAAAAACTGTTTCTGAAGATGAATTGAACTATAGAGTTAAAAGTTCATGTTTCTCTCAAAATGCTGTTGGTAAAATTCTCTTTTTAATACCAACTGGTCATGAGTTTTCTTCATAAGGTTACAAAAAACCCTTGTGTATGTGTATATATATATATATATATATATATATATATACATATATATATATATATATAAATATATATATATGGTTTCTGGGATAAAATGATGAATTTTATGTTACAGAAGGAAACCTGAGCACATTGCTATATTGTTTGGAGCTTTTTCTTTATGTTACAGAGTTGCTAGTCTCAATTTCCTTTTCTGGGCACACAGGAAGACAGCATTTCTCATTATCCCTTGCAGTTGGTTTGGGGAAATGTTCCTGGATTTTGCCCATGAGTATGTTTGGAAGTTATATGGGCCATTTTCAGGCTGGTCATAAGGTCCATTGTGCAATCTTCTACACTCTTTGTGGAAGCCTAAACATAAGAGATGACAATATCAAAAGGTACAAGGAGACTTAATCCTTAAGTCACTTAAAATTATTAATTATTCCATAGTTATTTTTGACATTAATGTCAAAGCCATTTTAATTTTAATTGAAAGGAAAAAGTCCTTTGTTATATTTGTTTACCTTATGTAGTTATTTTAATTCTATAAGAGGAGTATGAAATAAAAATACAGTAAGTTGGCAATTTTAAAATAATGACATAATTGGCAAGGAAATTATTTTGTACCTGAGATAGGTGATTAGAAAGAAAGACTTTAAAAAATTTAATATTGAAAACTGGGTGTCGTGGCACATGCCTGTATCAAAATTATTTGGGAGACTGAGGCAGGAGAATGACAAATTCATTGTCAGCCTAGGCAACATATCAAAAAAATTAATATTGAGAAGTTGAACAAATGAAACACTGACAAAGAATCTTTCAAAGCTCATTTCAATGTGTTTCTAAAACTGTATGTGACTATATGGCCCCTGTTAAATTCAGTGCCTTTATTAAATGCTAAACAAATGGTTCCTGAAGGGCTCAGATTTTTTTCCCAAAGAAAAATATTAGTGCAGTAAAGCATGGACTATTGTAATAGAATTTCCCTTCATTTACTTTAGTGGCAATGCTTGAATGGACTTGTATGAGTATCCATACTCAATATATTATTTTTCATAAATCTCACTAAAAATATTTTACTCTTTTTTTTTTACCAAGTTTTTCAAGATTGATACATGTAATGGTTTGGAACTTTAATGCCCCCTGAAAAAAAACAAAAACAAAATATGGTCCTAACACAGCAAGGTTCAAAGGTGAGAGCTTTTAGGCAATGATTAGATTGTTGAGTTAACCTCATCAATGGATTAATTAATTTGATCGATCAATAATTTGAATGAACTATTGGGTAGTAATTATAGGCAGGGAGAGTGTGGATGCCTAGGGGAAAGTCAGACTCTGGGGCTATGACCTTGGAATACATCTTGCCCTTGGCTCCTCTCTTTTTCACTATGCTTCTCAGCTTTGCCGCACCCTTCCACTATGATGGTCTACCTCACCTTGGACCCAGAGCAATGGAGTTGACCGATCATGGACTAAGACCTCTGAAAATGTGGGGCCAAAAGTTTATATTTTTCCTCTTGTAAGTTGTTCTTGTCAGATATTTTGATCACAGTGACAAAAATCTGACTAACACAATATATCTTATCAATATAACATAAATCTTATTGAGAAATCACAGGTGAAACACGAGATAACACCCATTCAATTTAATTCATTTTGCCCTGGTAAACAGGTTATAATGACCAATCTGTAGGATCCTTAATCACTCAATGGGATTGATGTACTAGCCTGGGATGGTACCAGGTTTCCTGCTTATCCATGTCCATCCACCCACTCAGTTACTGCCTCTACTTCCTAATATGCTCTCCTGCTCTCCATTTTGGAATCATTCTGAATGTTCTTATTTTTGCAGATGCTACTATACTTTTTTGTGAGAATATCTATAGCCTAATTAACCTTTATTATTTTGAAATTTATATTCATTCTTAGATATTATTTATGTCTTTCTGCTTTGAATTTTCAAAGGCATTGGATCACAATGGGATCCAATGAGCATTTGAGAAAATCTAATAATTATCCCAGCTTCGTCACTATCAAGATGCATAATTATAAGCAAATTATCTTACATTGTTGGATCTCTAATAATTGACTGTCAGGAATGGACAACAACCACTACTATCTACCTCCAAGTAGATTCATTTTGAAAATTCTAAAGAAAGCTATTATGGCTGAGAAGTGGGCTATAAAAATAGATGGTTTATAGGAAGGGCTCAATAAATATTTGTTAACTCTGAAGACATTAAATAGGAAACCTAAACACTTTTGCAGATGGCATGGAGCAGTGTAGAGTGACATGGCCCTAGAAATGGTCAGTTGCCTTGGATTCTGAGTGTTTCCAAACCTATTCTGCTTGAGTTTTGATTTGATTATTCTTATTTAACTAACTTTGAAAGTAAAAAGTAAAAGAGAAAGGAATTTTAAATTTACTAATTACTTATTAGTAAATTAGTAAAAATGTCAGCAAGTCAAAAGTCCTGCTCATTCACTTTCTCTAAGCCTTCTGATAGGATTCATCATATTTGGAATAAAATCGAAGTTCTTACCAGGACTCACAAGGCCTTATGACATCAGAGGTGGGTGGCCACTGGGCCTCATCTTCCTCTGTTCTCTTCCCCACTCACTCTTCTGCAGCCCAGCATGTCTTCTCACTGCTTTTGAATACTCCAAGTCCGTGACAATTTGAAGCCATACCTCACATGGAGAATCTTTTTCCTTTCTCCTAGATTTTGCATTGCTAGGTCTTTGGCATCATTTAAGTGTCCCCTCCAGTATTGTTTCCTCAGTAAGAAATCTCTAAAATAGACACTTCTTCCTCCCACCCCAATACCATCTACCCAATTAATCTGCATATTTTCTTATATTTATAAATATATAAAAATACTTATAACTACCTAAAATTATGCTATATATGTATTTCTGTTTACTTGTTATTATCTACCTCTGCCACTAAAATGTAAGTTCCAAGAGGGCAGAGAATGTTGTTTTATTCATTGCTATTTCTAGTACCTGGATCAGCACTTAATACCTGTAGGTACTTAGTACCTGTAGGTGCTCAAAACTATCTGTTGCATAAATACATTTACTGTATGGATTGACCTTCTTATTAGCCTAGGCACTGGGATATGCTGTTTAACATGTAAAAGAACATTAGAAGGTCTAATTTTGTGGACTTGGAGGTGGATACTCTTAGCTATCTGTAGTTGTGTAAGCAAATATTTCCAGAAGCACTTTGGAAAAAGGGAGTTTCTTGTTGGAAAACAGGAATAAGAGGGTGAATTGTAGGAGTAAGATGTGAACTTGGACTTCATGATCACTTTGGGCGTCAAGGGCCACTTGGAAATTAGAAAAGATGAGATTTCCATGACAGTGCTAAGATGTTGTGATTGGACTATAGACAAAGAAAGGTAGTGTTACCAGTCAATCTAAGAGTAAGGACTGAAGACTAAGGCTGGGCCTTGTAACAATGCAACTGAGATGAAACTGGGTGAACAGGTTTAGTTCATGAAAGCTACTGGCATGGATCCCCTGACCCCAAGGATGCCTACTGCTGCCAAACTGACCCACAAATCAGCCTTTGTGATTCTGTCCTGCGTGAGGACAGTGCCTGCCACATTTCCTCCCTCCCCTGATGATGCCCTGTTATCTTTGTTTCTTTATTTTTTAACCTTTTTTATGGTTTTGTTTCTTTTCTATACATACAATCCTCCATTCCTTCTGTTTAAATTTGTTTAACCATTTTAAATTCTTTGCCTAGCTTAACAATACAAAAAATACAGAAGAATTTCTGATAAAAAGCAGCTGGCTCCAGCCCTGTTTATTTCTTTTCTTCAGTTCTTGTTCCCCGAGGTCAACTCTTGTCCATTTGTGTTTTTCAATTATGCATGGAAGTAGAATTCATTTTGATATAATTATTCAAGCATGGAATATGTCTTATTCTAATTATTACCCCATTCTTATTGATGTACATGATGGTGGGATTCACTATGGTGTATTCAAATAAGTACATAGGAAGATTATTTCAGATTCATCCACTGTCTTTTCTTTTCTTATCCCTATTCCCTTCCCTTCATTCCCCTTTGTCTAATCTGCTGAACATCTATTCTTCCCTTGTCTCCACTTATTGTGGGCTAACTTTCACATATCAGCAAAAACTTTTGACCTTTGGCTTTTTGGGACTGGCTTATTTCACTTAGCATGATAGTTTCCAGATCCATCCATTTACTTGCAAATGTCATAATTCATTCTTCTTTATGGCTAAGTAATACTTCATTTTATATATATATCACAAATGGGATTGACCATTTGTGTTTTTAATTCTGTTGTTTAATGCCAAAACTCTAGATTAGTATGTTAATAGAAATTTAATGTGAGTCAAGTAATTTTAAATTGTCTAATAGTCACATAAAAAAATACATATATAAAACAAATTTTAATGAACTATTTAATTTAATCAAGTACAACCAATACATTATTTCAGCACATAATCCATATAGATATTATTACTGAAATATTTTACATTTTTCTATTATTTTCAAATCTATTTAAACTTGTGGCTCATGTCAATTTGATTAAACACATTTTAAGTGCTTAATAGCCTCATTTGGTTTGTAGTTACTATATTGGGCAGTACCATTCAGGTAATGTATTTGATAGTATTTTTTTGATTTATAATATATTGAGTAAATTTATTATATCTACAACATATAATGTATATTTTCTCTTTAGCATGAATATAAGGTTATTTACACACTGATCTCTCCTTTTATCTTCTTCCTAGTAGTGTTTTTAGATATATACAGAAGTGCAGATTTGTACATGTGTGTATAATTTATAATTTCAGTTCTTTTATTGATTATGCGTATAAGTTTAAATAATACACTAGACAGACTATTTCTAATTCTTCAGTTTCAGAAATGTTCAAATTATATATCTTGACCCCTCACTAAAGGATATTACCATTTCTACTACATTCTATATCTTTCTTTTCAATCTCTCTCTTCCATCTTATATGGAACCCAAATTGTAAATATTTGTAGATAATTCTGTAACCAGTTGTCTCAGTTATTCTAAAGTAATACAGAGAGCAACAGGGAGTGAGAGAGCCTCTGTGTAGTTTTGATCAATATGGATAGAGATACAGACAACCAGAACTTGATTTACCTGAATGGCAAACAGAGAAGGAGTTTCCTTACTGCCAGCCAATAAATTATGTAGTAATGGTTTTGGATAATGGAATGAAGTACCAGTTGCTAATTTGAATTGAGGCTTTTTATTATTTTATTAGTCTATTCCTGGAGATTAAATATAGTAAGGAAATAGATTCACATTTGACATGTTAATAATTTTTCTTCCTAAAAAGCTGGCTTCTTATGGATTAGGGCTTTGTTCTGCAGAAGACCAAATGCTGAGATTCCAGAATCAAAAGAAACCCAGGGTCAAAAATGTCATGTGAGTTTGGTGGTGTTGGGGGCTGATGTCATTTGCAAAGAAGAATATTTGCAGTTGCTTTTTTTTCTTTAAATTAAAATTTGATGTATTAAAATTATGAACTAAAAAAATTTTTAATTGACCTACTACATTCAGCTCATAATTACTATTCTATTCATAAATCTAGTAAATGTTACCAATAACATTAGAAGAGTTTACTAATTAACTTGATTAATTATAGCCCTTTATATATTTTAAACTTTAATTGATTTGCCTTTCTTAAGAACTAAGTGCTTTGAACAAGTCATTTATCTCTAATTATTTAAAATGCTCTGGTTAATTTAATAAATTAAATTTCAAATATTGTAAGCCTCAATTTCTTTTATATATTCTAGTAGTAGGTACAAGAAAAGTAAATCATTTAAGTTAAAATCATGTCTAAAAATCTATTATATTCAATCACATATTTTAAATTGGAATTGTCAGATAAATCAATCTGTCAGATGCTTTGATATGCGGAATTCTCTAAATAACTTAAAATTTCTGACACCGTTTACTTTATCATTTCTATTCCTCTCTCAGTCTTGCGGGTATTAAAGGACTTTCTACTGAGGACAGGGCCACATGCTGAGTGAATTAGGGCACTTCTCAGCTGACTGAGAAGGCTAATAACCTGGAGATTTGGGTTGGGGAAAGAGCCAGTGCTGCAGATGTTCCGAGCTTTCCTGGGAGGCCTTGTTGAGCCTTGTCAAAAGTCCTCTTCTATAAATGCTATCAGTTTTGCAACCTAAGTTCCTGGAGTTCAAAGTGAGACCTTCTTGGGAGCTGCATGACCTATTTTGACTTTATTGTTTTAGCTGGATAGAGGAAGGCCTGGAACTCCACCCAGGTTGCTTCAGCGTTAGCTGGGAGACAATTAACTGAGTTATAGCCTGGGTCTGTCCTTAATTCTTTTCTTCATTCTTCCCTAACTGGTAGGACCAGAATGCATAGGTATTTGAATGAAGTCTGTCCATCTTGGAGGTTTTCCCATTTCTTCAGTTATAATCCTAAAACCGTGCAAATAACAGGAATTAGTAGGAATGAGGCTTCAACACTTCAAGTACACAAAGTGCTACAGATGTTTGCCTTCTCTTGGGAAGGTGGACTTCATACCTTCCAGTGTCCTTTATGCTCCCATAAACAAGACTGAGGTTATGAAAGTTTGGGGTCTTTTATTTTTTTAAGGTTCCTTTTCCATTAATTCCACCATATAGTACTCTGCATTATCACTTCTTGAGTGACTGACATATAACAGGTGCTGTAGGTATTAGGGGTTTTAGTGAAACTGGAAGATCCTTCCATTGTAATGCTGGTGTTTTTGCCTCTAATTGATTACTCACCCTGTTGGAAAATAGCTAATCTTATGGTTGGTGTGTGAATGTTCTTCTTCCTCTAGGCAACAGAATTGAAGGACTCTGAAGTGCTTTCTGCTGCTCTCTGTACCTTCTCTTCATTGTGCATTCCTGTGTGTGTCCTCTGTGACTGTGTGGGAGGGCTGGCTTGGGAGTGCTGTCCAGGCAGCTTGTAAATAGACTAGGAGGCTGCTCAGAAAGTGGATCATTCAAGATGTCATAGAACAGAGAGAAGGAAGCCTTGCTTGAACTCTTGGCCTCATTTATCTATCCACATCTTATGAAGTTGGAATTTTAGACATTTGCCTAACTATTAGTAAAACTGATAATTTTCTTATTTGGGTGTTTCTTTTGGTTGGGAATACCTGAGTGATAGTTGGAGAATGGGGAGGAATTAAATACTGTTTGAAGCCATGACAGGTCCCTGTATTCAGAAAGTTTAAGTAACTTGCCTAGGTCACATAACCAGTAAGCAGTCAAACTAGAATTTGTACATCAGTTTGTTTCCAAAATGATCATATATTCAGCACCGCCTCACTACTCCTAAGTCAGTGAAAGTTTTGAACAGGAGAGCAATTATAACTACACACATGATTTCTCCTTCTTAGGGGATGCCAGTCACTGTGGACATACAGAAAACTCAGGGGTTCACACAATTTTGGGTGTAAGACTTCTTTACACTCTTAAAAGTGATTGAGGATTCCCAAGTTTTTGCTTTTATGTAGGTTGCAATTTCAATATTTACTGTATTATAAAATCAACACAGTGAAATTTTCATAACACAGGAGCACACATTTCATTGGTCCTCAGAATGATGAGGTCACCACATGTCAGGTAACCTCTGGAAATTTCCACTTGACACTCAAGACTGAAAGTGAAAAACATGCTTAAATATGATGAAAATAGTTTTGACTTTGTGGTCCTTTGAAAGTCCTGATTACCTTGAAGGTGACGATTTGGACAGTAGTGGGTGGGAGTGGAGATTCAGATTCTCAGGTGAGCATGGGAGCTGCAGGAGAGACTCAGCAGAAGCCCTCCTGTGCCCACTGGCATGCACTGAGCCCAGTCCCAATGGTTCTTGGTGTTCCCCGAGGTTGTCCTGCTCATCTGCTGCTCTTGGTGGCCTGATTTTCACCTTTCACGGTCACTGCCAAACATTGAGACAGAGAATCACACCATGTATTACCAGCCCAGGGGAAAAAAATCACAATTCAAAATTTAAGTATGTTTTCTACTGAAGGCATATCAGTTAGCAGCATTGTAAACTCAAAAAAAATCAAAGAAAAACCATCATAAGTTGGGTACCATCTGTATGTCTATTTTTTGTTTTAATTTGAGGAGAGGGTGCCATTTTTCTCATTTGCTGAAGGTGCTATATGTGTTAGAGGCAGCTCAGAAGTAATGTGATTGGACACTCTCTTTTGGAAGAATACTTTGGCAGCAGTATGTGTTGAATGGATTGGAAGAGGGGGAGGCAAGCACTGGGCATGTCAATTGAAAGAACTCTAACTCAGAAAATTAGATTAGTTAGGATGATTTACTTTTCTAAAATCATTATATTGCTAAATAGTTCTTTCAGGGTAGTCAAATTGCTCAACTGATATGGAAGATAAAGTTGGGAATTCCCAACTTGGTACTTCCCGTTAGCTTTTCATTTAACTACATGTATAATTTATTGACAAAAATTTCCCCATGGTTCATCTATTTGCTGTTAGCCCTAAGGGAGTTTATGCTGTAGATCTACTCTGGAATCTTAAAGACATTTGCTTGCTTCCGTTTACGACTCACAGGCATACACTGCCACTTTGGTTGGCACTACTTATCTCCAGTGACCTTCATGGGCTCTGTGATTGATCTGAGAACAGATGAGAATGGAGAGGGAGTTGTGTATTCCTCACAGATCAGAGGTTTGTTTGCATTGCGTGCTTGGCTTTGTAGCTTACTGTGTGGGCACACTCTGCATCCTTCCTGTGTCCAGCCTCTGGGAATGACTGTAGCTAGATTTTAAGGTACCAGCAGGAAGAAGCAAAAGTAGAAAGTTGTGAAATTCAGGGGGTATGCAGTTTGAATCAATTAAGTGCCATTTGCAAATTGCTGTTCTTTTTCTGGGTTTATAACAGTGAAAGCCTATTGAAAAGTTGACATTTATCATGTAAAGAAAAAAAATACTTTGTAAGCAGTACAGTTTTTGGGGGGTATTGTTTCATATTGAGGATTATATACTTTTTTCTTTTGCTGGTTGCCAAGGAGATATATTAGATGAAGTGGTTATGACCAAGTTCCCCAATGAACTCTAAACTTTATGAGAGCGAGGATCAGATTTTTCCATATTTTTACTTTATATCTGTGTACCATATTATGGAACACACCAGTGTGTATGAAGTGAAAATGAATAAATAAAATTGGTATTTTTTTCTCATACTATAATATATATATAGGTGAATACACACACACACACACAGATATATAGGAGAATGCTGGAGAACTCTGGATTTGAATTTGTGGAGGACCCCAGACTTTTTCTCTGGCCTTCATCTACATGTATGGCAGAGAAATGAATCTCTAAACAAAGAATTTATTTGGTAATAAAATTCTAGAATTGCAATTCAGGACACTTATAGATCAGGATGATCTTTGGTATGCCCAGAGAACAAAGGCAAATGATAGGTTTTGTTGGGGGAAGAAGAGGTTATACAAACTGTGTTGAAACAAAGTTCATGGTCCTGGCAGCAGCTTGCTGAAGCAGGTGAATTATGCCTGGCCAGAGTTGTTGCTAGGTAAGATTTATATAATCTCAGAGTTATAGTTAGGCCCTTATGGTTGAGGACTGGGCTTACAAGACAGATTTGAAACTGGCATGTTTAACCTGCATGTTTCTCCTCATGGCCTCTTGACTCCATTTTAGTTGAGCATGACATAACTAAATCAATTTTGTAAAATCACCTTTCAAAAGGGTCTGTATAACGGTAGCAACCCTTTGCAGAGTAGACTCACACTGGGGCTCTCCATCTAGAGGAGCCTTCAGTCATTCCTGAAAGGCAATAAGCTTATAAGCTCTGTTTTATTTTTATTCTTTTTTTATTCCCATACAAGTTAACTGCAGTGTTATGGACCAAATTGTTTTCTGCCTAAGTTCATGTTGAGGTCTTAACCTCCAAGGTGACTACATTTGGAGAGAAGGCCTTCATGAGGTAAGTAAGATTAAGTGAGGTCGTAAGTGTGGGCTGGAATCTAATAGGACTGGTGTCCTTAGAAGAGGAAGACACATAGGGTGGGGGGGATGCACAAAAAGGGAGGACCTCCCCAAGAGGATGTAGTGAGCTGGCAAGCCAAGGAGGGAAGCCTCAGAAAAACCAAACCTACTGACCTCTTGATCTTGTACTTCTAGCATTCAGAATGGTAAGAAATAAATTTCAATTGTTTAAATCACTCAGTCTGTGGTACTTTGTTATGGAAGCCCTAGTAGACTACTCATTCAGGAAGGACATTACTGTTTGACCATCTTGGAGAGAGTATGCCATCTTCAATGAAAAAGAGAGAAGGGTCCATCTGCTTGCAGACCTTTCACCTCTATTTTTACTGCATTTATATCAAATAGAAAAGAGATATAGTCACCCAATTGGTGGACTCAGCCCAGCTCACCATCCTTTTGCAGCTCTGCCCTTAGTTCTTTTATTGTCTTTGGCTATAGACTGCAAGGTATTTTTTTTTTTACCATATGCAAAGTATTGTTTATTAGACCAAGTGACAAAGGAGGAGTAGGAATCCAGGGTTTACAGGCAGAAAGGTAAGAGGGAGGATGCAGTTTGTTGAACTGAATTCTCTTTTTCACGACACATGGAGCTGTTGGTCTGTGAGGGGAATGTGGCAGGTGATGGTGGAGCAAGACTGCCTAGGTTTGAATTCCTGGGTACCACTTTTGAGGTGGTGATCTTGGAAGAACTACTTAATGTCTATGTGCTTCAGTCTTTTCATCTACCAGATAGATAGTAATTACAATTTTATGAAATTTAAAGGAGTTAATAGTATATGTAAAATATCAAACAGTACCTGATGAATGATGGGAGCTCTATAAGCATTAGTCACTATGATAATAATGATGATGATGATGAAGAAGAAGAAGAGGTTCATGATGGCAGTGAATTGGTGACAATGGCAATGCCTGTTAGATTTTCACAAGTACTCAAACAAGTACTAGAGAATACTGATGTTGTCCTGCCCCTTTCCCAAGGTTCTTCATTCCATTTCAGAAAATTTGAGCAATTTGGATTCACCTCTCTAGTGAGTGGTCCAATCCCATTTAGGAGAGAACTTTTTCTGTCTCATAATTTGGAATGTATGTGTGCCACCATCTGTAAGACACAAAATTGTTCAGTATCTTTTTCAGACTTAGGTAAACCACCTATTCTATAACTTGGCCCTCCACATAGTGCCAAGGATGCAGGTCACTCCACTCAGACAGGAATCTTTAGGACATTGCTGTCAGCCTGATTTGTTGCTTTGAGAATTTAGGGTTTGGACTTGAGCCCCTATATCAGTAGTATCTTTTTTTCTGATTGGATTTTTATTCTCTTTTTCTTCTTGGACCTGTTTGCTTCCCTCTTTCTCCCTCAAGGAATTCTCAGAAGCTCTGGGACCTATGGCAAACATTTATGACTTAATGTTTACACTCACACAATTATCTTTCTTTTCCTTGGAATGCCATTTCCTGTCCTTTCTGCAACTGTTATTTCCTGTGTATCAGCCAAGTTCTATCTCATGATAGTCTCCCACAAAACCTCTCTGTATTCTAATTTTTCACTCACACGCTGTCCTCAGTGAATGGATGTTTTATGTAACATCTTAATGTAAATTTAAACTCCTGGAGTAGGTGAAGGGTATTTCTGAAAAGCACAGATAATTATATATCAAATGCAGCAGAAAATAGATGACTTGGCCTGGGGCCTCTGCTTGCTGCAGTGAAATTTTCATGGAAAGAAATAAAGAGTAAAATAGACCTATCTTAATCAGTTTTTCATAAAAAAACTGTTCTCTTATTTTCTTACAAAACTATCTTCAGTGAGATCTCCTTAATTTTATGACCCCAGTAAAGACAACCTTCCATATATGAGGTCATGCATGGCATATCAATCTTTATAAACCTGGTACCTGGCAAAGCACTGGGCACACAGTTGGATCTCAGATGGTTGCTGAATGAATAAAGATACTTTTGAAAGTATATCTTTTCCTTCCTAACCCCATGCTTTAAGTTTGGCAAAATATTCCATATAAGGGTGACACTAATTTGGTTTTACAAATCTTCTAGTCAAGTTATTACTTTAGGATTTACTGCCTGACTATCGGGGAGCAATGAGGAGCAGCGAGAGAATATAAACATTGCACATATTTATTATGAGCACAAGCTTGGAGTCCTGCATTAGTCACTGGCTGAGATAAGGAGGGAATCTCACTTTGTGCTTGCTCCCATTATGGAATGTGGGACCTAAATGATTACTTGGAATGCTTTGTATCTCTTAACTGTGGGATTCTATGTAATCACAGTAATATGCATACCTGAGGCAACTGCTTTGACTGCTTCTTGGCGGTGTATCAAAATACATTTCAATTTCAAATATGTATTTTTTTTAACCTTAAGAAATGCTTTCTGTACAAATGACATTAAATGTTGGCAAGGATGTGGGGAAAAGGGCCCACTCTTACATTGCTGGTAGGACTGCAAATTGGTACAACCAATCTGGAAAGCAGTATGGAAATTCCTTGGAAAACTTGGAATGGAACCACATTTGACCCAGCTATCCCACTTCTTGGTTTATACCCAAAGGACTTAAAAACAGTATACTACAGGGACACAGTCACATCAATGTTTATAGCAGCACAATTCACAGTAGCTAAATTGTGGATCCAACCTAGATACCCTTCAGTAGATGAATGGATAAATAAAATGTGGTATATATACACAATGGAATATTATTCATCATTAAAAGAGAATAAAATCATGGCATTTGCAGGTAAATGGATGGAGTTGGAGAATATAATGCTAGGTGAAGTTAGCCAATCCCAAAAAATCAAATGCTGAATGTCTTCTCTGATATAAGGATGTTGATTCTTAATGAGGATGGGGAGAGCATGGGAGGAATAGACAAATTT